AAGTATACGGTATAAACGGTACTAACAGGGGGGAGGTCCTTACTGTGTTCCTGTGGGCTCGCGGACTGATTGGAACCCTGAGCACGAGACAGCTGTCCACTGAGGCTCCTTCTGCGCATATGCGGAACACAGAGCGGAGAGAGGAGGGAGCGGAGAAGGAGCTCATCATATTTGGAATATTTACAGAAGAAAGAAGTTTCCTTCTCCGCGGATCTAAAGACAAACACACAGGTAGGACAGTCCACATGACACACACACACACTTAGGCACAATATAAACGCGGTTTCTTCTATTTTTAGACAGGTAAATGAAGTTAAGTTAGTCAGCGGATGTTGACTTAGCCCGGTGGCAAAGTTTTGCTTACCTCATTAGCATGAGCAAACTTGTCGTGTGTGAACACTGTGGCTTCCTTGAGACGTCTTCGGTGGAAGACGACACGCTTTTGTTTTGACGTTAAGTTAGGGGAGTTTTACAGTACGTGTCAAAAGAGAAAGTGTGTTCAGGGAAAGTTGTCAGAGCTGAAAACAGCTGTTGGAAAATGAAGAGGTTTCAGTTGGTGCTTGGGAAACGCCTGAAGTCAAACTGAGAGCAGACAGGTTCACATAACATATGATGAGTTATGCTTGTTTTAACGTGAGGGATAACAGACAGAAGTCAACGGTGACAGCAAACAGTATAAGTTTTTACTGCGCCCGCGTGACTCCATGTATTTCAGGGAAGGTGGGGCGCGAGGGCTCTGTTAATGACTTGTGACCAGAGGAATATGACCAAATAACACGGTGCTGAAACACACTGTCACTGACAGCTGCTTTCTCTTTGCTTCCGGCCAGCAAGGTGTCAACAGGTCCTTAACGAGTCTTAAAATGTCTTAAATTCAATGTCACAGCAAGCATGTCACAACAAGCATGTCTTAAATTTGAATTTGCGAGGTCTTAAGTACCACAAACATTTTATTTAATTTTATATATCCATTTTTAAGTTCTTCTTGTGAAAATGAGTGAAGCTTTTCTATGTAAAAGTCCACATTTCTAATGTTACAAATCTTTAAAAGACTATAATACTGCCACTTCATACTTGCATTTACCTGTTGGCAAAATGTAAATGAACTTAACTCACACTAATAACTGGCGGCATGATGGTGCAGTGGTTAGCATTGTCGCCTAACAGCAAGAGGGCTCCTGGTCTGAACCCAGAGTGGGGAGCCCCTCTGTGCTGAGTTGAGCTGTGCATGTTCTCCCTGTGTCAGCGCGGGCTTTCTCCGGGTACTCCAGCTTCCACCCTCAGTCCAAAAACATGCAGGATAGGGTAATTGGCGACTCTAAATTGGCTGTGCATGTGAATGTGAGCATCTATGTGTTACCCCTGCAATAGTCGACCCATTCAGGGTGCACCCTGTCTCTCAACCATTGTCTCCAGCCGCCTCTTGCCCAAAGGCTCCAGCCCCTCCGCAACCCCCAACAGGATAAGCAGTTAACGGAAAATGAATGAAATAACGCTAATAAAAAAAAAATGTATTCCTACATAACACTTACCTGCAACTGACAATTGTTTCATTGTCGACTAATCTGTAGATTATTTCTGCAATTAGTCTACTAATCATTTTATCGAAAAATGTGTTAAAATGTTGAAAAATGTCAGTCTGTCTCTCCCAAACTCCAAAATTACACTGCCTGGCCAAAAAAAAAGTCGCCACCTGGATTTAACTAAGCAAATAGGTACGAGCCTCCTATTGGATAATTACTGCATGGGCGATTATCTTTCAGCTGGCAACAAGTTATTTAACCCCAACTGGTGCAATGAGTTGCTTCTCATTTCCTAAACAACCATGTCGAAAGACACATCCCGTGGTCGTGGAAAAGATGTTAGTCTGTTTGAGAAGGGTCAAATCATTGGCATGCATCAAGCAGAGAAAACATCTAAGGAGATTGCAGAAACTACTAAAATTGGGTTAAGAACTGTCCAACGCATTATTAAAAACTGGAAGGATAGTGGGGACCCATCGTCTTCGAGGAAGAAATGTGGCCGGAAAAAAATCCTCAATGATCGTGATCGGCGATCACTTAAACGTTTGGTGAGATCAAATCGAAGAAAAACAACAGTAGAACTCAGGGCTATGTTTAATAGTGAAAGTAAGAGCATTTCCACACGCACAATGCGAAGGGAACTCAAGGGATTGGGACTGAACAGCTGTGTAGCCTTAAGAAAACCACTAATCAGTGAGGCTAACCGGAAAAAAAGGCTTCAATTTGCTAGGGAGCATAAAGATTGGACTCTGGAGCAATGGAAGAAGGTCATGTGGTCTGATGAGTCCAGATTTACCCTGTTCCAGAGTGATGGGCGCATCAGGGTAAGAAGAGAGGCAGATGAAGTGATGCACCCATCATGCCTAGTGCCTACTGTACAAGCCTGTGGGGGCAGTGTTATGATCTGGGGTTGCTGCAGTTGGTCAGGTCTAGGTTCAGCAACAGTATGTGCTCAAAGAATGAGGTCAGCTGACTACCTGAATATACTGAATGACCAGGTTATTCCATCAATGGATTTTTTCTTCCCTGATGGCACGGGCATATTCCAAGATGACAATGCCAGGATTCATCGGGCTCAAATTGTGAAAGACTGGTTCAGGGAGCATGAGACATCATTTTCACACATGGATTGGCCACCACAGAGTCCAGACCTTAACCCCATTGAGAATCTTTGGGATGTGCTGGAGAAGGCTTTGCGCAGCGGTCAGACTCTACCATCATCAATGCAAGATCTTGGTGAAAAATTAATGCAACACTGGATGGAAATAAATCTTGTGACATTGCAGAAGCTTATCGAAACAATGCCACAGCGAATGCGTGCCGTAATCAAAGCTAAAGGCGGTCCAACGAAATATTAGAGTGTATGACCTTTTTTTTTGGTGGTGACTTTTTTTTTGGCCAGGCAGTGTATGTCATCTAATGTCTTGTTTCGTACTCACGCCACTCACGTTTTAGTTCACCGTCATGGGAGAGTGTGTAAAGCTGTAAAGAGTATTTTGGGGTACTTTTATATGAAAAATGACTCAAACCGATTAGTCGACTACTGAAATAGTCACTGATTATTTTAATAGTCGATTACTCATAGCTTAGTCGACTTATCGTTGCAGCCCTACACAAAACCACATATATACCACTTGTCTGCAATGCTTACCTGTGATGCTTAAATAAGTAAAACATGATTTGTCCAGAAATCCGTCCTAAATTTGGTTAAAAAGTGTCTTGAACTGGTCTTAATAAGCATTAAATTTACCTGTCTGATACCTGTAGACACCCTGGACAAGTCAGGACATGACAAAGTCCCCTAATTCCAAGTTCATACATAGACAAATTAAAAAACACTGTCCTAATTCTGATGATACACATGTGTTTCAGTATATAGGCCACTCAAGAGGTGTTAAACTTACCAAGCAGTGGTGTTATGTATTTAAGTACATTTACACAAGTACTTCCTGGCAGAGCAGGGCTGCTATTGTGACTATTGACCTGTTGCACACTTGGTACGTTCCTACTGGCACTTTAGTTTTTATTTGCGACAGTTTAATTTGCACTACTGTATATTATTTGCACTGTTTATACTACAGGGTTTTTTCATTGCACTTTTTATGATTACCTCCTAGGCTAGTGCAACCTTAAGGAGCTTTTATTCTTGTAGCCTTACCTGATATGATAAAGTTGATGTATTTATTTCATCCAGGAGTCCTAATTGCCCGCTTGGGACAATAAAATTTATCTTATTATCTTTACTTTACTGGAGCACAATTTTTAGTACTAGGGATGCATGATAGTGGGTCTTATCTTATCCGATATCTGATATGCTGATATGTAACATCTCATCTGACTGATAACTGACATTGATATCATTATATCCACTTAATTCTCTTCCTCATTGTAGTGATCATCATGTCTCTTCTGTAGCGGAAATACCATCATATTATGCATGCATACTGACAACTTATGCTTCAAAGAGGGCATGTAGAAGGTCTGAATACAGTCACTTTTTATTGACATGTAACAGATGAATATCAGTCTCCAGAAACTAAGTAGGAAAATGCAGCTGTGGTCACAAAGTGGGATAGTCAAGTCACTAATGGTACAAACTACACATTATTACACACGTCAATAACTAGCATAAACCTACAAACTACTCAGTCCAGCATGCTGGAAAATGTGGGCATCGCTACAATACTCTTAGTGTGATGGCCCACCAGCAGATGGTGACACAAAATATATTTTCAATGTATGTAAAATTCATTCATTGTGCGAATTAAGAAAAAGTGTTTTAGCCAATTCCCATAGTTCATTTTAAAGCCAATTTCAGCCAATACTGATGACGTACTGATATTATCGTTTATCTCTAAATTTCAGTATTTCCATTTGGTGAAGTCAGGTAAAATAGGCTAAATACGATTCTACATCTGTGGATCTTTGAATATTAGCAGCCAATTACCAAACATGTTATTGCACCATTACTAAATGCACTTTACTTTTTATGGGAAAGGTTTTAGAGTGGGTACTTAATGCATTCTGGTAAAGCAGGACATCTTTCTGAAGTGAAGCCAGCATGCTTTTAGCACAGTAAAGTAATGGACATAGCTACTGTGAAATCCCCCATTGTTTTGTAGACTTCTGTTTTGAAGCCTCAAGGTTGGCACTTTGGCTGTTTTTTTTGAGCCAGAACTGATCATATTTGGGTAAGAGGCTGGAGCTGTGAAGGAGTGAGGGGTGGACCTGACTGAGAAGCCGAGGACACTATCAGCAGACAGCCTGTCACTCACTGCTGCCGCCTTTAAATATGTGTAACTTAAATTATTCAAAATGTAAATGTGAGTTACAAAAACAAAACAAAAATCACCCCCCACACAGTTGTCATGAAGGGGGAAATTACCTATAGAGGCTGTAAAGTTGATCATTTTAACATGGGGGTCTGTGGGGACCGGCTTCAAGCGACCATTCAAGGAACTGCAGTTTTTGGCACCTCTGTGTCATTTCATTTTTCAGCTCCAGAGGTTGCCGCTGAGTTTTTAGGCTGCTTACTAGGTGCCATAAAATCATAAGGCATGCTGTTGTGTGGCACCCTGTATTATTACAGACATTTTGGTATTTTTGTCACAAATATTTAAGATGATGCAGTGAGTTCATGTCTGCCAAAATAGTCCAGAATTAGTCATTGCTGTCCAGCACACTCAAGAAAACAGGCATGATCTGGTGATCTTTTTTATGACATAAAACATTAATGATTTATTGACAGAAAGACTGAACTGATTTAACCATTTTAAAAAAAGAAACATGTTTATCCCATTGTACCTGAACATGTCCTCAAAGTTCTTGATGTGACTGAAGGTGTTTTATATGGCCACATGTTTTCTTTATAGGATCATAGCAGAGATACATAACAAGTTATTAAAGTAACGCTCAAGCTAGTCTTCAGAGTTCTAGGTGGCTTTCTTAGTTACCTACCAAAACACGTCTTAAATTACCTGATTTAATCCCTTATGTTACTGTGTACTGCTCCACTATAATTCAGATGTATATATTGTACTTTTTTATCCTCTGCATTTACTAGTTAATTTGAAGAATCAGATTCAACATACAAAACAGGCGGTCGGTTTCTGAGATATGTGAATACATTTCTTCGGCTCCAACAGGTCAAAAAGCTTCTAAGACAGTGATGCATATATAAAGAATGATAATCCATGGGTTTAATATATGATAGAATAACACCAGAGGGACCTGCTGTATTTTTAAGGGATATAAATATAAACTTAACATACCATAACTTACTTCAAATTTAGAGTGCAGGACTCTTTCACTGCAACCAAAGACAACACTAATGTTCACAGTCCTCCTCTCTTAACTGGTCTGATGTCTGCTAATCACTGATATCATTAGATCTTATCTTTACATTCCTGTTACTTCTGTCTATTCATGCAGCTACTGATTTCTATCACTTCCTTCATATTTTACTTTAACGTGCACCACTTTATATGCTTATATCTAGACTCTGTTTTTGTCTTTACATTTTGTCATTATTATTATTATTTATACATATTTAAATTTCATTGCTGGAGGGAGTCTGTGGCCCAAGTTTTTTTAATGGCAGCAACTGCTCTTGCGTTTGTTGTCAATTTGACAACACAATGAATTTTAGACTTTGAATTCTATAGTTTAAGGAATGAAAAGTTCTTTAAAAAAAGCTAATAGTTGCTTAGTTGTAAAGTTACAGCCTCTTGGTGTTTCCATGGCACACTGTTGCTCACCCCTGATAGGCCATGGAGTCTACTGTGTTGAGCTGAAATGATCAGCTGTTTAATCTATTTGTGAACTGACAGAAAAGTTTGATAATTGATTAATCATTTAAGTAATTTCTCAAGCAAATATACCCAAAATTAGCTGATTACAGCTTCTCGAATGTGAGAATTTGCAGCATTTCTCCGTTGTATGTCATTGTAAAGTTTCAGCAGTCAAAGACGTCAAGTGGGGCTCGATCAATCAGGGAAATTATATATTAATTAATAGTGACAATAATTGGTAGCTGCAGTTTTATTTTGCTGTGCTGTTAAGGTCTGACGTCTTGCAGGTATTAATTCCAACATCACACCTCATGGTTGATAGTAGGGATGAAACTGCAGTAAAATTCCTGACATTAACTATTACCATTTAAGTATTTGATTATCATTAAAACAATATTTGGTTACTTTGAATTGCTCACAGTAAATCCTGTCCATCATCAACCAAAGTTAATAATAGTCTCTCAGCTGCTGGTGTAGTTTGCAGTGTAGGTTTGTTTAGCTATTCCTTTGTTTACAGAGTGGGCGTGCAGCAGGAAAACCAGTGATGCTACTGGTCCCATGTCCTCATCTACACTGACACTGACACTTGGGCAAGCATTTCAAAGACAGACTACCTTTAATGCTAATTAATACATTGCTGATATCGTATCTAAATGGCAATATGGCTAAGTGCAATATCCAAATCGCAGGAGCTGCAATTTTTTTGATAAATATACATTATGTTACATCATCCAATTATAAATAAAGCATTGTGGTGCTACAGAGATATTGGAGAAGTAAGGGAACATGCTTGTTTGGTACAGACCCAAGCAAAAATCACATTATCATCATTTTTAGATTTTTTTCCAGTGAAAATTAAATGCAAAAATTACCATTCCCACTGAAATCGCAACTCATATTGCAGCTGCATTATCTGACAAAATAATTGCAATATGATATTTTTTTTGCATGTTACGCAGCCTTAATTAATGTTGCAATCAAAAGTGCATAGTGCTGCTTGTTTAATTTGTGGTTTTAAGTATAACAATGTCGTGATAATACTAGTGTGATAATTCTGGTCACTATAATTGTGATATGAAATTTTCGTAGGTAGCTGAAGGTGTCTTCGTCAGTCAAATCACATATTCAGAATCTGCATATATGTTGCACAGACTCTTGATACTTTACCTTCATGTTTCTCCTGCACAGACAGTATCCCTCCATGTTTACTCTCCTCTTTATTGTGGCACCCAATTTAAAAATGGATCCAGTAATAATGTATTGTTCTTCGTAATGCAGAAAATGTACCACCTACAGTTTTGTTAATGCATTAGTCATTTGTGAAGCAAGTATGTTCAGACATTTCATTAACAGCAGTTAATAAAAAATAATGAAAAGAACTGTCGTTGCCATATCTCAATATATACCACTATTCTCTGCAGACGAACTGCTGGTTCCACTCCAGTGATGTCTTCCCTGTGGTGGGAGCAGTGGCCCCTGCAGGCGGCAAACGGAACCTCTCCCCCCGGCTTCGCTGACAACAGTAGCTGCTACAGCTCCACACAGAGTACTGTGCTCAAGGGAGTGGGCTTTGGAGGAGTGCCAGTCGTGCTACTGATTGATTTCTCTGTCTTTCTGGTATGTCTAATAATCGACTGTGTCTGTCTGCCTGTGATGTGATCAACTGAGAGAAGACTGCGAATCTGCCTGTGTTGTCCTTAGAGGCAAGAGACAGTCCCTACCAAAGTGCTTTATGTTTTCTTTGTTTCTTTTACTAAAAAATTTGTAGAGAATATATTTCCCATTTTGGAATATTAAGCAATACACTAACTAGTGAACTGCTCAATCATTTCAGCAACCACTTCTTTATTTGTGTCAGTGATGCAACAAAATATATTTTACTGTGTGCCATGAGGTGAAAGCTGATTGTTTCTACTTCTCATGCCACCTACAGGTGTTGCTGGTCGTCTTCTCCATAATCAGGAGGATGTTCTGGGACTATGGGCGTCTGGCATTGGTTGCAGACAACGATGGGTCAGTTCATGATCTCACACACTCAAAGTTTTACTATTGGACAGATTCTAAATGTGAATTACTGACGATGACAATTGACGATTTGCTTTGGTCTTTGACTCTGTACTTTCTGTGTCAGGTTTACTGATTCAACACGCCGTCGCTATGGACACAAGTCATCCTTAGTGGCCAGTGTGGATGAGTTTGAGCAGGAACTGGTATGTAAAAGAAAATCTTTGTCATCAATTTCAGCACAAAATTCACTATTTATAATGGATAAATAAATAGCCCTATTAACCAAGAGGCGTAGCCGTAAAATAATATCAAGATATTTCAAGGTATTTTTGCAATGACGTTATTCTTGGCGACATGACAAATTTGTTAAAAAATAAATGATTATTAATTTAAGAGCATATAATTGCAACAAAATAAGTGATATAGTTTTACAGTTTGCCTTCAAATATTCAGTTAAAACTAAACAGAAATGATCCCTCATTTCTTTAGTTTGTGAACAACAACAGTAACTCAGTGAGATTCAGATTCTGTGTACAATATTAATAATTAAACAAAATAAAATCTACCACAAATTACACATTTAAACAGCTCCCAAATACAAAAATGTCCCCTGGGATCTATATGTATATAAATCAACAGGTGATTTCCTTCTTTTAGTAAAATCCTAAATGATTGAGTTGTTTTTTTCCACCTGGACCTTTATACTCTGCCATTTCTCCTCTAATCATCACGCTGTAACCTGTGACAGGCTGTTATGACACCATAACTATCACACATTCACATATATGGAGTTTATTGTCGAGAGGTGAGTGTCACATAGATTTACATTACCAAAGGTTTATGACAAAATCACTGGACGACAGCAGCACAGCGAGAGAAGAGAGGGAGAGACGCTGTGCTGCTGCCAGAGGAGCTGCTGAATGAGTTCCTTCTGAGCAGTAAGTCACTAATATAGTTTGAGAAGTCCTGGGCTGTTCATAATACATTCAGGACGCTACATTTTTTTCCACACTACTGAAGCTGCTCCTCTTTTTGGAACCACTGTAGAGTTTCTTGTTGTTGCCATGGGTAACAGTATGATGTCAATATGTCATTGTCAATATGAGTATCGTGATATGAATATGAATTTTTCATATTTTTTTCTCTCTTCGTTTTTGAGCCATACAGGACTTACCAAATATTTCTCATTAGTATAATCTTCACCATATGTTTGTGTAATAAAAACATCTCTCTTCCTGTTCAGGGATTCTGCTCCTGGCTGCCTTACATCCTCAGAATGGAGTGAGTGATCCTGTGGTTTGTTGTCTGTTCTGTTGGTTGTTGTTTCATAACTTATGGCTCAATCGTGGCTGTTTCATCAGGCTCTGTATACGAGTTGGTTCTTGCTAATCTGTGTCTGTGTGTGTTTCAGTGAGGACAAAATAAAAACCAGATGTGGCATGGATGCTGTTCACTACCTGTCATTCCAGCGTCATCTCCTCATCCTGCTCATGGTCGTAACTGTCACCTCCCTGGCAATCATACTGCCTGTCAACATGACTGGAGACCTGCTGGGTGAGTTTTGCTCTGTTCTCTGTCTGTTAAAGGAATGCTGCAGCACCTAAATGACCATTTGTTTATCAGCTGACTTACTGTTTTTTTTTTGTTGTTTGTTTTTCTTGCATGCCTCCAGTGAACGAATACAATACAATTATATTACCTTATATTCTTACAGTTTGGCCACTTGTATTCTTTTTGTGTTCATTCTCGTCTCTTTTTATTTACATTTCTGCTCAAAGTAAATATGTTGTTTTAATGTTCTTTATTTCTTTCAGATAATGATCCACACAGTTTTGGAAGGACAACTGTTGGGAATCTTCAAAAGGGGTAATAAGAGAGTGACAAAAACTGTTTGGAAGATCCATGAAAACAGTTTTGTGTCTTGGTCATGACAAAGTGCTTCTTTGTGTCTGTCATTTTTGCTTCTAGAAACAACCTGTTGTGGCTGCACACAGTGTTTGCAGTCCTGTACCTGATCCTGACAGTTGTTCTGCTGAGACATTACACATCACAACTGAAAGGCATGCGCAGAGAAACAGTGAGTCACTCTCTACTAGGCCACAAGATCTGATGTCATAAAAAAAGTATGAGCATTCACACTTGGTTTAAATGCCTCCCACAAACGTACACATTTAAACTTTGTCCACATTACTTGATTTACTGTCTTTATTTATTTTACATTGGATTGTCTAGGACAGGGGTCGGCAACCTCTACTATCAAAAGAGCCGTTTTT